CGCACACACACACTCTATCCCTCACACACACACACACACACACACTCTATCCCTCACGCACACACACACACACTCTATCCCTCACGCACACACACACACACTCTATCCCTCACGCACACACACACACACTCTATCCCTCACGCACACACACACACACTCTATCCCTCACGCACACACACACATCCTCATCTAACAGTGTGTGTCTCTCAGAGGAAGAGTCTCCGTCGCGGCTGATGCTCACTGGAGTGCTGGTTGCTATCGGACTGCTCATTCTCATCGCCGTGGTGATTGTTGCCGTGTTCTGCTTCAGGTGAGATATGTGATGATGTGATTGGGTGGGGGGGTTAATAACTATCATACATGCATATATCCAACTCTACCCGCTCACACACACACACACACACACATACATACACACACATTCACATTCACTTCAGTGTGACTCATCCTGTTCATAGTGAGTGTGTGTGAGAGAGAGAGAGAGAGAGAGAGAGAGAGAGAGAGAGAGAGAGAGAGAGAGAGAGAGAGAGAGAGAGAGAGAGAGAGAGAGAGAGAGAGAGAGAGAGAGAGAGAGAGAGAGAGAGAGAGAGAGAGAGAGAGAGAGAGAGAGAGAGAGAGAGAGAGAGAGAGAGAGAGCAGGATGTGTCCACCCAGTGCTGTCTCCATACAGACTCTTACTGGAACAATGAATCTAACCCCAGGAGCACACACACACACACACACACACACACACACACACACACACACACACACACACACACACACACACACACACACACACACACACAGAAGTATGTCACACACACTCATATAGAGACGAACAGCTGCAGGGTCTCTCTCACAACAGACAGAAACTCACAGGAGTCATGCGAGAGGAATCCAGTCACACACACCTCAGTGTAATCTTAGCACATATAAACACAGAATAAGATCTCGCTGGTTTAACAGTGTGTGTGTGTGTGTGTGTGTGTTTTCTCAGGCGCTCCAACAGGACCAGGGACCCAGACCCGGATAAGAGTGGCCAGTTCCTGATGGGTCCGGGTGAGTTTCTCCCACAGTCAGGTGTGTGTGTGTGTGTGCGTGTGTGTGTGTGTGTGTGTGTGTGTGCGTGTGTGTGTGTGTGTGTGTGTGTGTGTGTGTGTGTGTGTGTGTGTGTGTGTGTGATGTTACACAAACAGGTCCAGACCAGAGAAACATGTGATGTGGACGTCAGTTGTTCACTGTTGCCGGGCAACAACTGTTGATGCCAGTAAACCAACAAAATACACTGTGCTTTAACATTTACATGAACTGTATTATTATTATTTTTACTAAACTCCAAAATGTGAATGAATATTACTAATGTCTGCTGATGACACGACAGTACACAACAGAAATCATTTGAAGTGTTCGATCAAGCAGGAAAAACTCACTTTTACTACCGACTTTCATAAATATAAATAAATATAACTTTTGGTGCTCTAAGATCTGAATGGAAATATATCATCATTACACTCTCAGTAATGATGCGCAAGCCAATATCAGCCAGGTCAGTCTATGTGGTTTTTTAATATCGTGAAAATCCATAACTTCATCTAAAATTAAAATTAAAACGGAAAATATAAAAATAAAATCTAATTTATAATATTTTTAGTGCTGGGCAAGTTAACGCGTTATTATCGCGTTAACGCATTTATTAATTAATGCCGACAATTTTTTTATCGCGCGTTAACGCAGTTTTTTTTATTATTATTATTTTGAAAGTCCGTTGCTCACTGGCTCTGAATACACATAGGCCTACAGTCAAACCATGATCACAGGAGGGGTGGGATGTTGGTCAGCCAGCAAATAACCCACCCAAACCAGCAGTGGAGAGGCTTTGGCAGGTTCTCTCAGGTGAACAGAAAGGGAGACAGCGCTCCGCGAGTGAATGACAGGCGCTCTATGGATAGTAACCATGGCAACGGCTTCTGTGCGCTACGCAGCTGTAGTCTTTTTAACTTAAATTAAAATTATACATAACTTTACCTGATAGGCCTGCGTTTAGTTTAGCGGGGATGCTCTGCCATGTGAATTCCCTCCTGTTGATGTCCTGATAACTATTTAGATTCTGGAAACTCACAAACAGCGAGCCGAGGATCAGTCTCTCTTCCAATGATTTGTGCTGCGCGTCGTGTACAAAAAGTTAGACAATTCAACTTCGGCAACGCGCGGGCGCGTGCGTGAGGCGAGCATGACTGCAACAGTTTCACAGGAACGCACCCGCTTGTCGCTGCACCTGTGCTCGACCACTTCACCTCACTCTAGGCACTTCTGCGTCGGACTTACGCCGGAGCCTCTACGCTATAGACTACGCGTTGGTTTTCATTTATAAATCTGCGTCGTTGACGCGCAATTACACATGAGGTAGAGTGTGAAACCCGGGGAGCGGTTCTAGCAATCACAGCGCTTGCAGTACGCGTAGAATTGACGTTACATTTTTGGAGAGATGCACGTCAGGGTACGCGCGCTACACAGCTACGGCGTGAGTTCGAGCAGAAGTATAAATTGGGCTTTACCTCTGTTTAATGTAATCTTACGTGGGAAACCATGGCATGCCATGACCAAACCTAAGCTGCTATCAGAGAAGTAACGTTGGTCGACTTATATCTGTAGTAGTGATCATGACCCTTTGACTACATAGACTGTTTCTGCTGCTCCATGATAGAAGATACCTGTTCAGAAAAAAAAAGAAAAGAAAACTGGACTCGTTTTAACAAGCTAGATAAAAGGTAATGCCCTGGCAGTGGCAAATAGCTTTGTTTAAATATTTGATTTGATTATGTTAATGTTTAAGTTGAGATTTACAAGAAATATTTTATTGATACTGTGTAAAGGGAATACTGCTGATATAAAAGCACCTTATTTGTTTAAAGTTTTTGCAAACCACATGTTATTGCACTTTTGTAGCAGTACATTTAAATCAAAAGTGCATAATACACTACTTTAGAATTCATTATTCAATATTGCGCGTAACAATGCGATTAATCGCGATTAATCGCAAGAAATCATGCGATTAATCGCGATTAAATTTTTTAATCGTTGCCCAGCACTAAATATTTTATATAATTATATGCCAACAATGCTAAGATAACACTGGTCTATCGCCAGATATTCATTCATATTTAATTTATTATTAATTAATATTTAATTTAACTTCATCATCTTGTGAGGTTTGAACTGAAATAAAGCACAAAAAGTCGTAATTTTAGTTAATTTTAGTAATTTTATTGTGTATTTTTGTATCACTTTTATTCGTTTTTTTTATATCTTTATATTTTTTATTATTTTTTATTTTTGAATTACTTTTTATATATTTTTTATTTTTATATTTTCTGTTTTCAGTGCTATTTTAGTAATAGTTTTAGGAATTTTGGTAATGTGTGTGTCATTAGTGTCATTGAGACTATTATAGTTTTATCAATTAGTTTGATTTTTATACTTTCTATATAGTTTGTATTCATTTTCATTTCAATGTTAGTTATTGTAATAAATCAAGTTAAATGAGAAATGAGCTGAAATAAGATTCTGTTTTCATTGTATTTTTACTTAGTTTTCGTAATTCTGTGTATTTCAAGTTTTTAATACTTTAATACTTTACCTTATTTCAGTTAACATTTATTTTAATTCAAGAAATGGAAATGTATTTTTATGGTTTTAGATTTATAACCCTGGTGTGTGTATATGTGTGTGTGTGTGTGTGTGTGTGTGTCTGTACGTGTGTGTGTGTGTGTGTGTTTCTCACAGGGATTAAAGTCTACATCGATCCGTTCACATACGAGGATCCTAACGAGGCTGTGAGGGAGTTTGCCAAAGAGATTGACGTGTCGTTTGTCAAAATCGAGGAAGTGATCGGCGCTGGTGAGAACCGTGTGTGTGTGTGTGCGCAGGTGTGGCGCGAGTCTCATGTTCCCAGTGTGAACAGCAGTAATGCAGAACACACACCTGATGAAAGCTCGTCTCGAGTTCCTCCATTGTGCCGTGTGAACGTGATCTCCTCTGCGCAGGGGAGTTCGGCGAGGTGTGCCGGGGCCGGCTGAGGGTCCCGGGCAGGAAGGAGAGCTGCGTGGCCATCAAGACCCTGAAGGGCGGATACACGGATAAGCAGAGGCGGGACTTCCTGTCCGAGGCCTCCATCATGGGCCAGTTCCAGCACCCCAACATCATCCACCTGGAGGGAGTGATCACCGCCTCCTGCCCCGTCATGATCCTCACCGAGTACATGGAGAACGGGGCGCTCGACTCCTTCCTGCGGGTGAGTGTGTGTGTATCTGTCTGTCTGTCTGTCTGTCTGTCTCTCTCTCTCTCTCTCCTGTCTCACCCTCTCTCTCTCTCTCTCTCTCTCTCCCCTCTCTCTCTCTCTCTCTCTCTCTCTCTCTCTCTCTCTCTCTCTCTCCCTCTCTCTCTCTCTCTCTCTCTCTCTCTCTCTCTCTCTCTCTCTCTCTCTCTCTCTCTCTCTCTCTCTCTCCCTCTCTCTCTCTCTGCTCAGCTGAATGATGGCCAGTTCACTGGGATCCAGCTGGTAGGGATGCTGCGTGGGATCGCCTCAGGGATGAAGTATCTCTCGGAGATGAGCTTCGTGCACCGGGATCTGGCGGCCCGGAACATCCTGGTGAACAGTAACCTGGTGTGCAAGGTGTCGGACTTCGGCCTGTCCCGCTTCCTGACGGAGAACTCCTCCGACCCTACCTACACCAGCTCTCTGGTGAGCACACACACACACACACACACCAGCTCTCTGGTGAGCACACACACACACACACACACACACCAGCTCTCTGGTGAGCACACACACACACACACACACACACACACACCAGCTCTCTGGTGAGCACACACACACACACCAGCTCTCTGGTGAGCACACACACACACACACACACACACACACACACCAGCTCTCTGGTGAGCACACACACACACACACACACCAGCTCTCTGGTGAGCACACACACACACACACACACACACACACCAGCTCTCTGGTGAGCACACACACACACACCAGCTCTCTGGTGAGCACACACACACACACACACACACACACACACACACACACACACACACACCAGCTCTCTGGTGAGCACACACACACACACACACACCAGCTCTCTGGTGAGCACACACACACACACACACACACACCAGCTCTCTGGTGAACACACACACACACACCTACACCAGCTCTCTGGTGAACACACACACACACACCAGCTCTCTGGTGAGCACACACACACACACACACACACACACACCAGCTCTCTGGTGAACACACACACACACCACGCACACACACACACACACACACACACACACACACACACACACACACACACACACACACACCAGCTCTCTGGTGAGCACACACACACACACACACACCAGCTCTCTGGTGAGCACACACACACACACACACACGATTTGTTTGTTGATCTGTGATGATGCGTCTGTGGTGATGCGTCTGTGGTGATGCGTCGGTGATGATGCGTCGGTGATGATGCGTCAGTGATGATGCGTCTGTGGTGATGCGTCTGTGGTGATGCGTCGGTGATGATGCGTCTGTGGTGATGCGTCTGTGGTGATGCGTCGGTCGTGATGCGTCTGTGATGATGCGTCTGTGATGATGCGTCTGTGGTGATGCGTCTGTGGTGATGCGTCTGTGATGATGCGTCTGTGGTGATGCGTCTGTGATGATGCGTCTGTGGTGATGCGTCTGTGGTGATGCGTCTGTGATGATGCGTCTGTGGTAATGCGTCTGTGGTGATGCGTCTGTGATGATGCGTCTGTGGTGATGCGTCTGTGGTGATGCGTCTGTGGTGATGCGTCTGTGGTGATGCGTCTGTGATGATGCGTCTGTGGTGATGCGTCTGTGGTGATGCGTCTGTGATGATGCGTCTGTGGTAATGCGTCTGTGGTGATGCGTCTGTGGTGATGCGTCTGTGATGATGCGTCTGTGGTGATGCGTCTGTGGTGATGCGTCTGTGATGATGCGTCTGTGGTGATGCGTCTGTGGTGATGCGTCTGTGATGATGCGTCTGTGGTAATGCGTCTGTGGTGATGCGTCTGTGATGATGCGTCTGTGGTGATGCGTCTGTGGTGATGCGTCTGTGATGATGCGTCTGTGGTGATGCGTCTGTGGTGATGCGTCTGTGATGATGCGTCTGTGGTGATGCGTCTGTGATGATGCGTCTGTGGTGATGCGTCTGTGGTGATGCGTCTGTGATGATGCGTCGGTCGTGATGCGTCTGTGATGATGCGTCGGTGATGATGCGTCTGTGATGATGCGTCTGTGATGATGCGTCGGTGATGATGCGTCTGTGGTGATGCGTCTGTGATGATGCGTCTGTGATGATGCGTCGGTGATGATGCGTCTGTGGTAATGCGTCTGTGATGATGCGTCGGTGGTGATGCGTCGGTGATGATGCGTCTGTGGTGATGCGTCTGTGATGATGCGTCTGTGATGATGCGTCTGTGGTGATGCGTCTGTGGTGATGCGTCTGTGATGATGCGTCTGTGGTGATGCGTCGGTGATGATGCGTCGGTGATGATGCGTCTGTGGTGATGCGTCGGTGATGATGCGTCTGTGGTAATGCGTCTGTGATGATGCGTCTGTGGTAATGCGTCTGTGATGATGCGTCTGTGGTAATGCGTCTGTGATGATGCGTCTGTGATGATGCGTCTGTGGTGATGCGTCTGTGATGATGCGTCTGTGGTAATGCGTCTGTGATGATGCGTCTGTGGTGATGCGTCTGTGGTGATGCGTCTGTGGTGATGCGTCTGTGGTAATGCGTCTGTGATGATGCGTCTGTGGTAATGCATCTGTGATGATGCGTCTGTGGTAATGCGTCTGTGATGATGCGTCTGTGGTGATGCGTCTGTGGTGATGCGTCTGTGATGATGCGTCTGTGGTGATGCGTCTGTGGTGATGCGTCTGTGATGATGCGTCGGTCGTGATGCGTCTGTGATGATGCGTCGGTGATGATGCGTCTGTGATGATGCGTCTGTGATGATGCGTCTGTGATGATGCGTCTGTGGTGATGCGTCTGTGATGATGCGTCTGTGGTGATGCGTCTGTGGTGATGCGTCTGTGATGATGCGTCTGTGGTGATGCGTCTGTGGTGATGCGTCTGTGGTGATGCGTCTGTGGTGATGCGTCTGTGGTGATGCGTCTGTGGTGATGCGTCTGTGGTGATGCGTCTGTGATGATGCGTCTGTGGTGATGCGTCTGTGGTGATGCGTCTGTGGTGATGCGTCTGTGGTAATGCGTCTGTGATGATGCGTCTGTGATGATGCATCTGTGGTAATGCGTCTGTGATGATGCGTCTGTGGTGATGCGTCTGTGATGATGCGTCTGTGATGATGCGTCTGTGGTGATGCGTCTGTGATGATGCGTCTGTGGTAATGCGTCTGTGATGATGCGTCTGTGATGATGCGTCTGTGGTGATGCGTCTGTGGTGATGCGTCTGTGGTGATGCGTCTGTGGTAATGCGTCTGTGATGATGCGTCTGTGGTAATGCATCTGTGATGATGCGTCTGTGGTAATGCGTCTGTGATGATGCGTCTGTGGTGATGCGTCTGTGGTAATGCGTCTGTGGTAATGCGTCTGTGGTGATGCGTCTGTGGTGATGCGTCTGTGATGATGCGTCTATGGTGATGCGTCTGTGATGATGCGTCTGTGGTGATGCGTCTGTGGTGATGCGTCTGTGGTGATGCGTCTGTGATGATGCGTCTGTGGTGATGCGTCTGTGGTGATGCGTCTGTGGTGATGCGTCTGTGGTAATGCGTCTGTGATGATGCGTCTGTGATGATGCGTCTGTGGTAATGCGTCTGTGATGATGCGTCTGTGGTGATGCGTCTGTGATGATGCGTCTGTGATGATGCGTCTGTGGTGATGCGTCTGTGATGATGCGTCTGTGATGATGCGTCTGTGATGATGCGTCTGTGGTGATGCTTCTGTGGTGATGCGTCTGTGGTGATGCGTCTGTGGTGATGCGTCTGTGATGATGCGTCTGTGGTAATGCATCTGTGATGATGCGTCTGTGGTGATGCGTCTGTGATGATGCGTCTGTGGTGATGCGTCTGTGGTAATGCGTCTGTGGTGATGCGTCTGTGGTGATGCGTCTGTGGTGATGCGTCTGTGGTAATGCGTCTGTGATGATGCGTCTATGGTGATGCGTCTGTGATGATGCGTCTGTGGTGATGCGTCGGTGATGATGCGTCGGTGATGATGCGTCTGTGGTGATGCGTCTGTGGTGATGCGTCTGTGGTGATGCATCTGTGATGATGCGTCTGTGGTGATGCGTCTGTGATGATGCGTCTGTGGTGATGCGTCTGTGGTGATGCGTCTGTGATGATGCGTCTGTGATGATGCGTCTGTGGTGATGCGTCTGTGATGATGCGTCTGTGGTAATGCGTCTGTGATGATGCGTCTGTGATGATGCGTCTGTGGTGATGCGTCTGTGGTGATGCGTCTGTGGTGATGCGTCTGTGGTAATGCGTCTGTGATGATGCGTCTGTGGTGATGCGTCTGTGGTAATGCGTCTGTGATGATGCGTCTGTGATGATGCGTCTGTGGTGATGCGTCTGTGGTAATGCGTCTGTGATGATGCGTCTGTGGTGATGCGTCTGTGGTAATGCGTCTGTGATGATGCGTCTGTGGTGATGCGTCTGTGGTGATGCGTCTGTGGTGATGCGTCTGTGGTAATGCGTCTGTGATGATGCGTCTGTGGTGATGCGTCTGTGGTGATGCGTCTGTGGTGATGCGTCTGTGGTGATGCGTCTGTGGTGATGCGTCTGTGGTGATGCGTCGGTGATGATGCGTCTGTGATGAAGACTCTCTGTGTTCCTCAGGGCGGGAAGATCCCCATCCGCTGGACGGCTCCTGAAGCCATCGCCTTCCGCAAGTTCACGTCCGCGTCAGACGTGTGGAGCTACGGCATCGTCATGTGGGAGGTGATGTCGTTCGGAGAGAGACCCTACTGGGACATGAGCAACCAGGACGTGAGTCACACACACACACACACTCTCACACACAGTCACACACACGTAGTGCTCATTCTGTTAGATATTTTTACATTTAGTCCTAGTCCTGTGTCCAATTTTTTAAAATAATATTTAGTCAACCTTGCCCTGTTTACATCCAGTGAAGGTTTAGTCGACTCGAAGCCTGGGCAGTCTAGTCTACTTTAGTCAATGAAAACTGTCATATGTTCGTCAGGCTGCATCATGGTTACATCTATAATAGGCTAACGATTATCTTGCTTAAAATTATAATCAAACATTGGGTAGGAAACGTGTTCTTTTAACAGAAAAGCTTGTCTTTTTCCGTCAGCGATATTGCATGTTGATATAGTCAGTTATCATTTAATGGCGTTTGTGTCGTATTCTTCGTCATAGATTTCGTTAGCGAAATGAACACACGGTTTACTCAACATTTGTAGTTTTCATTTTGTTTTTTGATGTTTATGATGTCGCTTCACACACATTTTTAAAGATAATGATTTAGTAAATTAACGGATTCCACAAGTTTTTTTCTTGATATTTTATTTCCGGTCACGCTCACTGATTTAGCTGTGCATATTTCCAGAATTTTGTGGAAAAATGTGCGATGTTTATAGTCGTGATCATCGTGATTTTTAGATTGCTGTTCACCCTGTTTAATTAAAATAATCTGATATATATAATAATTATGTATAATTATCGAAATTATCCCTCCCCATTGCACATCAGGTTTATTGGCTAAATGTACAGGCTTTCAGCGGCTTGCAGGGAACACATCAAACACAAGTACTCAACACAACAAACACACTTTGTATTAGTTTTGCATGGACATTATTGTTCAAGCACTGTTAGTTTGGAGAGCGTCTCCCCGAGAGGTGAATGCTGAAGGTGTGTGATGTTGTGCAGGTGATCAACGCCATCGAGCAGGACTACCGGCTCCCCGCTCCCCCAGAATGCCCTGCTTCTCTGCACCAGCTGATGCTGGACTGCTGGCAGAAGGAGAGATCGTCTCGCCCGCGCTTCTGTGCCATCGTGTCTGCACTCGACCGGCTGATCCGACACCCAGCCTCTCTCAAGATCACCGCGCGCATCCCCGACGGGTGAGTGTGTGCGCGTGTGTGTGTGTATGTGAGAGTGTGTGTGTGTGTGTGTGTGAGAGTGTGTGTGTGTGTGAGTGTGTGTGTATGTGTGTGAGAGTGTGTGTGTGAGTGTGTGTGTGTGTGTGTGTGTGTGTGTGTGTGTGTGTGTGTGTGTGTGTGTGTGTGTGTGTGTGTGTGTGTGTGTGTGTGTGTGTGTGTGTGTGTGTGTGTGTGTGTGTGTGTGTGTGAGAGAGTGTGACAGGAAGTGTTTGGGTGGGAGGCTGAAATGGAAGTTAATCACCTTCACTGCTGCATCCTGCACTTTCCATTCTAAATCATCCGTACACACGATGTTCCTTTACTTCACACACTCATGTGTAACGTGTGTCTCTCTCACTCTCTCACACACACACACACACACACACACACTCATGTGTAACGTGTCTCTCTCTCTCTCTCTCTCACACACACACACACACACACTCATGTGTACCGTGTGTCTCTCTCTCTCTCTCTCACACACACACACACACACACACACTCATGTGTAACGTGTCTCTCTCTCAGGCTGTCTCACCCTCTGCTGGATCTGCGTGCTCCTCCTCTCTCTCTCTGCAGTTCAGTGGGCGAGTGGCTCCGGGCCATAAAGATGGAGAGATACGAGTCGGGGTTCCTGCAGGCCGGATTCACCTCCATCGAGCTCATCTCAGACATCTGCACCGAGTGAGTCTCACACACACACACACACACACACTCACTCACTCACTCACTCACACTGACACATTCACACACACACACACTCACTGACACACACTCACTCACTCACTCACACACACACTCACTCACTCACTCACACACTCACTCACTCACTCACTCACTCACTCACTCACTCACACACTCACACACTCACTCACTCACTCACTCACTCACACTGACACATTCACACACACACACACTCACTGACACACACACTCACTCACTCACTCACACACACACTCACTCACTCACTCACACACTCACTCACACACTCACACACTCACACACTCACACACTCACTCACTCACTCACTCACACACTCACTCACTCACTCACACACTCACACACTCACTCACTCACTCACTCACTCACACACTCACACACTCACTCACACACTCACACACTCACTCACTCACTCACACACTCACTCACTCACTCACACACTCACACACTCACTCACTCACACACTCACACACTCACACACTCACTCACTCACTCACTCACTCACTCACTCACTCACACACTCACACACTCACACACTCACTCACTCACTCACTCACTCACTCACTCACTCACACACTCACACACTCACTCACTCACACACTCACTCACTCACTCACTCACACACTCACACACTCGCGTGCAACGACAGAGAACACGCACATCATACTTCCGCAAAATTCCCTCTGGTGTCTTCAGAATGTGTGTGTTTGAAATTTCAGCTCAAATTACCAGATCATTTATTATAGCTTGTCAAATTTGCCCCTTTTTGGCTGTAAGCAAAAACACGTTGTTTTTGTGTGTGTCCCTTTAAATGCAAATGAGCTTTAGCCCCGCCTCCGTTCAGAAGAGGGCGGAGCTTCAGAGACTCCGGCAATAACAACACAGGCCGATCTTACTGATCCAGAATCAGGAGTAACAGCAGCGAGTGCAGCCTTACGGAGAGACTCAGGGAGAGCTTCACTTTTACACGTTTCTGAATGTTAGCGGAGACATTTCTGTAGTTGTTGTGGAGTTACACTGATCATCTCCTCATCATGTTGAACTCTTCCACAAGTGTCCACAGTTCCTGAGGTGTTTATAAGACAGCGCTGACATGTTCTGGTCAATAGTGTTTCAGTGTCGTCTATGCTCGACCACAGAACAGTTTCAGGCTTTGCTGGATCTTCTCCAGTGCGTTAGAACTGGTCTCTGTTGGCGCTCGCCGAACCCAATGAAACCCAATGGTGTGTGTGAACGTGCAGATTAAGGGCCGGGAATATTATAATAAGATCCTCTTCATACGCCAGAAGGAGCGAAATCTGATCGGCTTATTTTAGACATGCTCTCAGAGAAAGACTCTCCAGAACACAGTTACTGGGTTTCAGTTTACACGTGTCGGTAGAAGCGCCGGATTGCAGCACTTACACACAGATTTTCATGATATGTCCCCTTTAATATTACAATTAAACTAAACATATGAACTTAATTTAAAATATGAACAAAATCAATGTGTCGTTTGTTCAGGGATCTTCTGCGGATCGGCGTGACTCTAGCGGGGCACCAGAAGAAGATCCTGTCCAGCGCCCAAACGCTCCGGATCCACAGCGGATCTCTGCGATACTGACCCTTCCCAGCATCCCCTGCTTCTGCTCTTACGGACCAGTCCGTCCAATCACTGTGGAGCGTCACAGCACCAGCCAATCAGAGAGAGTCTCTGGGTCTCATTCTCTTAGTTTGACACGGACTGATGTGTGTCTCCTCTCATGAAGAGAGTTACTTCTACAGGAAACACGGGACGTTGGAATATGACGTGTCACTGTTGCCGTGCATTATGGGAGTTTAATCGGATCTTCACATTGAAGGTTCATTATAATTATTATTTTTATTATAATGTGAGATTATTTTGTAATTATTTTGTACGTATCAAAACAGCACAAATAATGAACGAATGTTTGTTTAGCCAAAGAACTGTGGGAGCTGTCAATCAAACTGATTGTAAACCGTGTGACCAATCACATTAAAGACTCGTGCTGGCCCCTCCCACCGAGAGCTTGTCACGTCTGTTTTGTTGGGTTTATCTCCGCATTATTACAGGCTCTCGAAGACGATCCTCATCAGAAACTCTGAAGTGTTTTGTTGTTACAATGAAACATCTTTAATAAACAGACCAACACTCTTAAAAAGAGCTTGTATGATAATAACACCAGTGTTCAGTTATCATGAACTAAAATTGTAGAACATTTAATTACTGAAATAAAAAAAGAAACTTAAGCTTCCAAGGCAACATTTTTACATATTTTTCATTAAGTTTATACTTAATAAACTTAAAAACTGTATAGAAATATGATAAAAACTAATAAAAATGACAAAAAAACACCTGAATTACTAAAACTTTAAAATTACAATGAGAACAGAAAATGTGAACTAGAAAGCTAATTTAACCGCCTGGTGCTACTATATTATATTTATTTATTAGTTATGATGTGTGTGTGTAGACATCTGTGATGGAGTGCACACATGTGAACGAGCGTGTGTGTGTGTGTGTGTGTGTGAGTGCGTGTCTGTGTGTGTGTGTGTGTGTGTGTGTGTGTGTGTGTGTGTGTGTGTGTGTGTTTTTGTGTGGGTTGAGTGAGGCGTGTCAGTCAGTCTCTGTTCACACTACTAAACTCTTCATCATTTGATAAGACACACACAGTTTGTGTGTAATTCAGGATAATCAGATTGTGAAAGGTGTGTGTGTGTGTGTGTGTTTGTACGGGTCTGATAAGTGACGTGTGTGTCTTCTAGAGAACTGAATAACAGTTACAGAGACATTTAGGACGTATGGACAGGTTTTAAAGTCGTGAAGTAGCGACAGATCTTTTCTTCTGTGTTGTGTTTAATATCCGAGTGAAACGGATTATTGTAAAAGAACAAATTGAATCAAAACAATTTTGTTAAATTATTTATGTCTTCTTGAAATTTTGACTGTTTCTCATTTAGGGTCATGGATGTGCATGCAAATTTTTTACATGCATGTGTTTTGGAAAGGTGGTATAAATTTTGTTTAAACTGATTGTGTTTGGGGTCAAATTAAGCCACATTGGTTTCCATGCAATTCACCAAAATGAACACTTCGAAAAACGGCCAGTCAGAAAACCTTTATAGTAGCTTGTCAAAACTAAAATATGAAGTGCACAAGAACTTATGAAATGTAAGACTCTTATTTTTTTGTATTTGTTTCGCCATCTATTCAAGTTTCAAAAGTGTTGCAGAAGTGAAAGCACTTCAAACAATGAAAGTGTAAAACAGAAGTTTAAGTTTACTGTAAAGCAAATGTACATTTACATTTAATCATTTAGCAGACGCTTTTATCCAAAGCGACTTACACATAAGGAGAGCAATATAAGCAAATATCTCAGGCAGGCTGAAACACGAGCAGCTCCCGTCTGATCATCCGGCCGGAATGAGAGGTAGAGTTGTGTCATCAGCATAACAGTGATGGGAAAAGACATGTTTCTGAATGACAGATCCTAGTGATGACATGTAGATGTAGAAGAGAAGCGGTCCCAGCACTGAGCCCTGAGGCACTCCAGTAGCTAGATGATAACAGTGATGGGATAAACCATGTTTCTGAGTGACAGGTCCTAGTGATGACATGTAGATGGAGAAGAGAAGCGGTCCCAGCACTGAGCCCTGAGGCACTCCAGTAGCTAGATGATAACAGTGATGGGATAAACCATGTTTCTGAGTGACAGATCCTAGTGATGACATGTAGATGGAGAAGAGAAGCGGTCCCAGCACTGAGCCCTGAGGCACTCCAGTAGCTAGATGATAACAGTGATGGGAGAAACCATGTTTCTGAATGACAGATCCTAGTGATGACATGTAGATGTAGAAGAGAAGCGGTCCCAGCACTGAGCCCTGAGGCACTCCAGTAGCTAGATGATAACAGTGATGGGATAAACCATGTTTCTGAGTGACAGATCCTAGTGATGACATGTAGATGTAGAAGAGAAGCGGTCCCAGCACTGAGCCCTGAGGCACTCCAGTAGCTAGATGATAACAGTGATGGGAGAAACCATGTTTCTGAATGACAGATCCTAGTGATGACATGTAGATGGAGAAGAGAAGCGGTCCCAGCACTGAGCCCTGAGGCACTCCAGTAGCTAGATGATAACAGTGATGGGAGAAACCATGTTTCTGAATGACAGATCCTAGTGATGACATGTAGATGTAGAAGAGAAGCGGTCCCAGCACTGAGCCCTGAGGCACTCCAGTAGCTAGATGATAACAGTGATGGGAGAAACCATGTTTCTGAATGACAGATCCTAGTGATGACATGTAGATGGAGAAGAGAAGCGGTCCCAGCACTGAGCCCTGAGGCACTCCAGTTGCTAGATGTTCGTCTTAGACACCTCACTTCTCCACAAAACCCTGAAGGACCTACTGACAGATCCTGCAAAACATGCTGAACTAAACATTTTTATTTTACATAAAATACATATTTAACTAAATAAAAAGGCCTCTAAAATTGCTAGAAAATCAAAGCCATATGTTTAAGCAAGTTCTGTTCCAAGTTTAAAGTTACAATGACTAAAATTCATGGTAACGCAATCTGAATGAAAAAAGGCAATAAAAAAGCAGGACACTTAGAGTTAACAGGCTATATTTCTCACATATTATATTTTTTAATCTCTGACAAGCTACAATAGACGTTTGCTTTCTTTTTTAAAAAGATAAATCTAATGTTTTTCATTGGCAAAATGCATGGAAACCAAAGGGGGTCAATTTGACCCGCAACACAAACGGAGTAACCAGATTATCAACCCAACGAAGGGTTTTAAAGGGGATTCCAATCATCAGCCATATGGAACTGAAACACTGGCAGTTGTGAGTGATTTATCATACAGGTCTTACAGGAAGTGCTTGGTTTTCGGTGAATTACAAACAGACATCATGTTTCTATCAATGTTTGATTGACAGCCGTACAGCAGCAGATGGAAGCGAATCCGATGACGTCAGTGTGAACTGAATGCTGAAGTAAGTTCTCTTCTTTAACCAGTGACAGATGGGAAAATGAAGACTGAATGGATGTTCCTGCCTCTTTCAATCCCACGTTAAATAATTCTTAATTTCTAAATAAGGGATAAGAGGAATATAAATACACCAGAGCGAACATAAAACATCCCATCATGCTGTGAGATACAGTTACAGTCCGTCTGTAGTGTTTATGTTCTCAGATTATTTTTTAATATCAGTCGGATGTTCTGACACTTCGGGTTTATATTACAGAGTCAGAAAGAAACAAAGTCGAGGTTTGATTATTGTACAGTGTTTAAATTCATGATGGATTTTGATGTGTGTTTGTGTGTCTTGGAGACTCGCGTCTCGTTCTGTGATGATGATAAAAATTCCGTTGATCTGAGCTCATCTGATCTGTGAATCAAATTCCCTTCTATTATTTTAGGGCACGCATGTATATTGTGCATCCGCTGCAACACTGTGTGTGTGTGTATATGTGTGTGTGTGAGTGAGAGAATGTAAATGGATGAGCGTATGGAAAGATTGGAGAGACAGAGCGGCAGAGAGACGGACACATGGAGGTCTGCAGTGGTAATTGAAAACTGCTGTTGAAACCACAAAGTCGTGTTTGACATGAAGAGAGACTGTTTGAACCGTGACTCTGTGTGTGTGTGTGTGTGTGTGTGTGTGTGTGTGTGTGTGTGTGTGACTGAGAGAGAGAGAGGGATTCCATTCTCCTCACTCCCCACTTGACCTCCGACCTCGACTGCCTGTGAAACCCTTCGGTTTCACACCCCACAGTGTGTGTGTGTGTGTGTGTGTGTGTGTGTGTGTGTGTGTGTGTTTCTGGAGCGTGTCAGAATCAATCACACATAGTTCTCTTAAACAGATCTGACAGTCACGCAATGCAGCAAACACACACACACACACACTCACAAAAACATTTCTTCCTCTTCAGTAGGTCTGGAACACACACGCACACGCTGTCGTTGGTCAGTTAACCTCACAGTCATTGGTTAACAGCTGTCAGGGTCGGGTTAGTTAACCCTAGAGGTCGTGACCTCTGATGTCACTGCAGCAGACAGTGTGGAAGAATCTCTGTCACTCATAACTCACAATAAACAGATGGTACAATAAATTCTATCCGGTCATCTAGAATGCCATCAGTTGGATTGTAACTACATGTCAGCTTATTCTAACCCTACCAGTTTACATATTCTCCACTAACACTCTAACAAGAGTTAGCAGACATGTAGGTGCAACGTTACTCAAGTCAACAGAATGTGTTAAAGAGACCATCAAAATAAAGTGAAACCCACATGTCAAGTACTGAGTACTAGCATAAGAAAGGCAGAAGTTTTCAATACAAATATTTAGTTTATTGAAATGATACATTTTTTTAATCAATGATGTCGTCAGTAACGCAAGTGTTGAGTGAGGATCGAAAGCTGTGCTGTGCTGTTTAAACAAAGACTTGTCCAGAAAGACTGTGGAAATCTAAAGGTCAGTGCTAATCACCATCTCTTATGAAATATTTATGATAAATATAATATGTTAATTGACATTAACACCCACCAATCCGCCAAATGCGGGTGTATTTCAGCAGTGGCGTGTAACGCAGTCACTCCTACGAGCCACTTTGGCGGGCTCAATTTTTTTAT